TCATAGTATTTTATAAAAAAAAAAGTACTAACAATGATCAAATAGTGTCATGCATGACAAATACCACAAAAAAATAAATCTTGAAGAAACAATCCATGAAAAATTAAATTTGTCATGATCATGAAGGGGGATCGAAAATATTGAAGTCAAGTAAAGTATAATTACTCTAGTATAAGTAATGTCACAGAATATTAAATTAATTTGATATGGGTCAGCTTAGTAAGCTATATAAATTATGCAAAGTTTATGTCGTTTTAAAGGCTTATTTGTTGTATTATTTTAAAAGTACGACAGCTTCTTAAGCAATCAATCTTATGCCTAGAAAATGTATTAATCAAATCTGAGCAAGTTATGTGCATAAAGATTAAGCGTTGTAGACTAAAGATATATTAGTTGTTTTACATATTATGGCATATTATGTGTAAATAACTACGATTATGTGCTGATTAGGACTTAATGTTTACAATTTGTTTTTTGTTTAACGTTTTATGCTAAGAATCCTTTGGGATTCGATTTTGGTAAATTTAAGGTGTTGTACGGGGTCTAAGAGAGACAATATTACATTAGTTTTATGATTGTAACAATATAATGAAATCAAAAGGCATAGAAGTAATTATATTATGTAAACCGACAAAATGTGCTTTTGCATTTAGTAATCTAAATGTTTAGTTGTTTCTAAATCATCACATAATAACTAACGTATCGCATCAACATTACAGTATAATTGCTAGTGGTACCAAAGACGTTATTACAATGATCAACATTATTATTGAAAATCTAATTCATTATTGATTACACATTAGATAGATAAATTAAAACAATATTTTGATGATTATATAATATAAACTAAAATATATTATTTTTAATTTATAAAATTGATGTAAATTTAGTTTTCATCAAGGATTAATGTTGACTTGATGGCGTCTACTTTGTTCCTTTAAAAAAATCAATCGAAAATATAAAGATGTTCACTTATTTGATTAATCTGATAAATTCATCATTGTTGTAAAATAATATAGTAGTAAAATAATTGCATTATATAGGGACTGATCTGCTGCATCGGCCAACTTCTATACATTTTGCTACTGAATCATACTGAATACTGTCAAAATGTCATGTATTTGCTATGCATTCAGCCGTTTTATACATAAACTGCAACGTCACTCGTATGTTATGAACCTCAGTCAGAAAGACCCTGTTATCTAACCTCGTTTTTTACATTTGTGCATTTCTAGGTTATGTTTTTTATCTGACAACCTGAGAAAATCGCCTGACTGCAGAGCAATGACATGGCTTTTGTTAATATTTAAAACGTATTTGTATGGAAAGTTCTTCATAACATAGCCTTGCCATAACATTGGTCTGTTATGCGGCAGAGTCGGTCTCTTAAACTTAATATAGTCCATGACAAATACAGAATAATTTGGGAGCGTTTAGCTCATAGTCTCCAGTTTGTGAATAGAACATTTTTGATGCTACTCTCGTTACATTAGTTTTATGATGGTAGCAATACATTGGCACCAAAAGGTACGATTATGATTTTATTTTGTAGATCAACTTATAGATCAAGGAAATGTGTTCTATGCTCATTTTGTAATCTAGATTTTTAGATATTTCAATACTTAAATCGTCGCAAAATAACTTTTGCATTTCGTCAACCTATTTTTGTTAAACAGATCGAAAAACTAGAAAAAATTCCGGGCTTTACTAATCTGTTAGTCTAATAAATGTATCATTGTTGTTAAATAATATATTACATGCATTATTTATAATCGATGAGAAATCCATCCTGGTCGGGATGGATTTGGGCGCGTTCAGCCCTCGGTCTCAACTTGGTGAATAGAACAGTGTTCGGTGCGAGTGATGTGCGTGCGTGCATGTGTGCTCGA